CCGTATATTTTTACACATAACAATTTCAATGATTAAAGAAACCCCACAGAAAAATAAGGACAAATGAAATTGTGAAAATTCTTTATATTTAAACAATGAAAACTCAACTCACGCAAACGAAGATATGGGCGTAGCATGCATAGTCAATATCGTGATGGTCTAGACGTAGGGCATTTGTGTACAGAACAAACATGTCTGGGTTTGAATCCCAGAGACGACAGGCTGTTTTTCAAATCTACAAGTATTTATTTTCACTTTTGAAGATTTTAATAATCCGTAGGGGGATTTTTAAATTATTCAGTCACTTATTTCAGATATTTCTGACTTTTCTGATTTCGATTTGCAATTTTTCGATTTATTAAATTCACTTCACATTCTTTTTATTATTTGATTAGATGGATCGTACTTACTCAAGTGTATTTTATAGGGTTTCAGAAACTTGCGCAGTATTGATAAGATCCTGTGTTACATTTTGACCGAGAAATATCAAATTTCACTGGATCGTCTTATAGTGAACGCTTCACATTTTTGTAGATAAAAAAATATAGTAGAAATCCAAATAGCCTGTGTTATTAAAAAAAAAAAATGTTTTTTGTTTAAAACTGAGGTGTTTTTTTTGCAATATTTTCGTTATTATTTAACGTATGAAATTGAAATTTGGTATGATTATATTTTTGGACTAGTAAATTATAAGCATATTATCAATTTTGAGATTAGGCAAAGAGGGCGTCACCTGCACTCTACTGGATAAAGAAAAGTATTCTTTTTTTCTCTTGGAATTTTTTTCACCCTTGAAAATTTTAACAAAAAAATAGCATAAATTCAATATATTTTTGTTTTCAAGCCTACTTTGTTGAAATATTGTAAAAAAAATTAAATATAAATTGTAGCTAGACAATTTTAAACGCAATCTTTTTGAAAATGAGTTAAATGAATGCTATTAAAACAAGTAAGTATACGTGTTTGGTTCAAATTTACTATAAAGAGATCAAGATCGGTAGATCAAACATGCTGTCATGTATTTACCGCCCTGGACTTGTTGGAATGCCAGAAAACACACATTCGATGGATATGATGAAGAAATCATTAGAAGAACAAAGAAAAATAAGAGGCAATCTCATATTGTAAATTGAGTGTCTTATTCGACCTGCAGTTTTGCGTAAGAATAAATGGACAGCTGTCAAACAAATATCTAGTCGAAAGTGGAGAACTACAAGGTTCGATCTTGGGTCCCCTATTATTTATTTTATACACCAGCAATGTTAGCAAGAGCATCGAGTCCAAATCCAACTTTTAAGCAGACGACAGGAAGATCTACTGCAAGCCACTGAAAAGCTCTCACAAAATGATTTAATAGTCCAAAAATATAACTATATTAAATTTCAAATAATAACGAAAATATTGCAATAAAACGAAACTTATTCGAAGTAGATAACATTTAACACAATTTAGCAAATTATTATTTTGAAGTCCAGAACCTATTGTTATTTATCATTCCTTATAAAACTCCAATGAACACTAAGTGTTTGTTTTGTCTGTAAGTAGTAACATAAAGAGCTTCAACCACTATAGTAATTGATCTCTTTTAAAAATTGAATAAATGAACACACTTTTCTAAATAAAATAGTAGTTATATTGAGAAAACAAAAATATTAAAAAAAAAGCATTTATTTTTATGTTTGCTTTGATTTATCTAAAAGAACCGCATATAATTAACTTTTGTTTTAATGTAAATTATATATTTTTGACAATTCTGAATTTTGTTGCTTATGTTTCCATATTTTCTTCTTAGTTATAACTCAAAATTTCATCATAACATCCAGTTTTGATTATTATCGTCGTAGAAAAAGGTGTGCATACAATTCACACTTAATAGCTCTATTATTAAATACTCGCCGCATTAATATACTATTAGACAATTTTTATGACAAAAACGTATAAAAAAAATATTGGGAAACCGCTCCTGCCAAGCAAAATAAAGTTTTTCTATTTTTATCACACGATATTGATGATAAACGCGCCAAAAAATATGAAAAGGACCACAACATGTTAAGAAATTTGTTTGTTTAATAAATACAGTTAATTTACAAATAGTACGAAAGATTCTACTTCATAAAATCATACCTGTGGCCGTGGCCTAATATTTCAGATTGATATAGGAACAAGACTATAAATTGGGATAATACTACTTATTCTTCACTAAATACCTCCATTGTTTGCAAAGAAAATATATCTATTTCCCTAGCAAATACGACCCTTAGAATGAGTATTTTTATATATTTTTATATATTTATTTTTATATATTTTTATATACTTTTTTATATTTTAAATAGTCTTAGTTAAATTGTCGTATTCGTCCGTGTTCTCGCATAATAATTTCACAATTTTAATCTTTTATAACTTAGGTAATCACATAAAAACGCCAATCATAAACAAATTAAAAATTTAAATTTTTATTAAAGTAATAAATAAAAAATTTACAACTTTTTTTTGTAATAATTCGTGCTTATAAACTATGTTTTTTGGCATTAAACTGTCTTAAAAATATGTATACATATATACTTTTTAATGTACATAAATATTTACAATAATTATAAAAAAATTTCGAAACTAAAAACATTGGTAACTACGGTATATGTCATTTTTATTACTATTCTAAAACTTCTGTACTATTATCTTTTCCTTAATATTGCGTTTAGCTGCTAATAAAATATGTAGCACGAATCGGTAGTCACAGTACAACAATTACATATTAAAGGGAATATATAAATTTTGAGAATATATAATTTTATATAACCCGTTTAGTTCAACTAATATTGTATTTTTATCAATAAATTATTTACAAAATTTAATTTCGTTTTTATTTACTTACAAACCACAGTTTCATATTGCTTTCAAACATACAGGGTGTTAATTTTAAAACTCATTAGCAGTACCTCCCAATAAAAAAGAATTTCAAGAATTGTTTAAAACAGATCATCGATTGATAAGAAGACTATCCTATATCCATTTAAACAATCTTATATCCATTACTACATTACTTTACAATAACATTTTTATCCCGCTAGAGGGCGCTGTTCAAAAATAACAAGCATTTTTTAACAGATAAGTCAGTTACTCTTATAACCCACCTTGTATAAATAATGAAAAGAAAAGCAACATAAAAATAACATCATAGTTCATTATTCAATTCATAGTTTGTATTACATAACTAATAAAATAAAAATCATATTTCAATCACATAAAAAACAATATAGAATCGACTCATCTCACCAACATACATGAAGCTTTATACTCCTAAATTCGCATAGCAAAAAAAAATCGTTAGAACAATAGGTTTCTGTCTCTTAATATTTCAAACCACATCTCTCTCTTCAAATAAATAAGCTTATTTCCGTCACTCTCATTAAATGTTCAAAATAAATTAGCATACGATGTTCTATCAGCCAATAGAAATTTAACACCGTAACTTACATAACCAACCAAGCGCAAACCTTCGGTCTACACAATAGAATCATAAGCCAACATTCAATCACAAAATATTATGTAAACAGTAGATTAAGTGTTCATGAATGTTAAAGTTTATAAACATTTAAATAAACAAGTTACAGGAAGATATATTTTTAATTTCAACGTCAGTGAAGGTAAATTTGAAAGCCAGAAGTTATTCGTTGAACTGTCCATATCCCATTACAGTCCATTCAGGAAGGAAACCCTGTACAAAACATGGAACAGGCGCTAAAATCAAAAGTACCGTAATGAACAGTGATATTGCTGAACTCATAAAATTATCTTTTTAATGATGTCATACTTAAATTGTATTGGTTAATGTGACGGAGTGGAAGGGAATGACGTATGATATTTGAGAATATGATAAAAGTGACCTTTTTAGAATAAAAATCTATCTGTCTTAAACAAATTTTGATATTCTTGTTTATTAGGAGATTTTGTTAATGGGAAGTTTTTAAATTTTAAATCGAAACACATTTACTTTTGATAAACGGCGTTATCTTAAAAGTGATACTTTTGCAACAAAATGTAACATGTTTATTTACTACTCTATCCAAAAGAAAATTAACCTATCACGAAAGAAAATGCTGCATTCTCCTTTAAAACAGATCAATACTTATTGTCACCACCCGGTCGATAAATCACTGGTATACTAAAAATATAATTCAACTCTTACGGTCAAAGTTTGTAACCTTATTAGTCTGAAAAGCATTTCGATTGATTCAAACTGTAATAACCTCATATCGAATATTAAAAATTAATTCCGAGACAAAAATCTCTCGAGTAAGTTTTACCGCGTCGCCACATAATAAACATTCGATACATAAATAGCTATTAACAACTAGCACTAGCATAATAAAAACGTCTCTCGTAGACGCTTTTATCGTCGCAATTAAATTATTAAAGAAACAATGCTGCGATGAATGATAGAACGGCAAACAAAATACTCAAAATGGCAAATAAATCAACAGTAGCAAATTGATGAGCGCATGCTATACCGTAGGAACATGCAAACGCTAATTCGGCGGGGTCACGGTACCAGGGAAGTCCCGGCTTTTCCCCACAATCATCATCATTATCATCATTTCTACGCCTCAAAACTTCTCTAGAAGTTCCAGGTTGGTCAGCATCGCGTTCGGATTTGATACATTGCAAAACTAATCGGGAACTCCTAGGTAAATCGTTTTGCTTCGCTTCGCCAACGTTGGATACCACATTGGACGTTTCTAGAACCATTTTGGGCGATTTCAGACTCTCCAGCGAATCCAGATTGTTCTCTAACCCGCTATCCGATTTGAGATAATGGGAACTTTCGCCGCACGAGTGAAAACCCGAACTGACTTCCGAGTCATCGAACAAATTAAACTTTTTAAATACAATATCACAGTTAGAGGTAAACATCTGATCTACTGGGTTAGTGTTAAGGGTAAAAGCATCGCAATGGTCATTCGGCAAAGCTACAACGTTTAACACATCGGCACACTTCTCACCTGTAACAGCACCGCCATCGATATTATCGTATAAGGAAACTATTTTGACGGGCGCGTCGTTACTATCTTTCAATACTTGAAAGCTAGCTACCAATGCAGCCTTCTTTTCTTCGAACGGTGATAGACATCTGACTTCTCGTTGCTCAGCTTCCGATAGATCTAAAGTAACTTCGATATCAGACGTTAAATTTTCGTAATCGTGTTCCGATTCGATACTTTTATTACTATCATCATCCTTTCCTTTAAATCTAGACATTATAATTGTAGCCGATTCCGCATTCACAGGAGCTTCATAAATGCTTTTAACTTCTTCTTCGTCATCAGGGTTCTTCAATACAGTGATAAAATCCTTACTATCCAACAATTTATCGCACAATTTAGCTTTCTGAGACACCTCATCGATTTCGGACAACCTTTTACTAACTGTATCATCTTTGTCTTCGCTAAGCTTTTGTAATTCCAAAGTAATTCGCTCCGTCGTTTCTTTGGCTTCTACCGCTAAAGCGTTCAGCAGGTCGTCCAAAGATGATGGTGTCGACTCGCTGTTATTAGATCGTTTATCTTCTAAAGGTGATACCGGTATCGGTGTCGATTCTTTCGGAGATCTCCTGCGCTCCGGCGTCAATCCCCTGGGTGGCTTCAAAGATAAACTCTTCGGAGTACCGGATACGGATCCTCTAAGCTCGTTCAAGAAATTCAACCGACTTTCTTTAGTACTATCAAATCCGTGCGAATAAGTAGCATCCGTATCGCTCATAAAAGCTTTCTTGGTAGCAGAAATTTTATTATCCTTCTCCCGCAATACCTTCCTAGCGATCTCCATGGCGTCAGCGATATCGGTTAGCGTTTTAAAATGGTTCTCCACATCTTCACCGTTATCGTTCTTGCACAAAATGTTGCCGATATTCGCCGACATGGATCGTTGGGCTCTCTTCTTTTTGAGATACTTCAAATTGGCTTCCGAATTGTTGTTGCTGAAGTCTTCGTTCGATAATGGCGGTAGAGCTGGACCTTTGTTGCAGTCTTTGCGTAAATTTCTGAACGCTAGATCGTCTTTAACGATGTCTGGGATTTTTTTGTGCTTGAAAGATGGTTTGTAGATGAATTCGGGTTTCGCGTGCAAGTAATCGCTGTTAGCACCAGGGGTTATCGGTCCTAATGGTATACCGAAAGGCGGTTGTGGTTCTACTACTTTAAGCACGCTGTTAGAATGTTTGACGTTCCTATAAACGACATCGTCTAGGGTAATATCGGGTTCGCTGGTATTTCGTTCTTGTTGGACAGTGTGATTCCTAGAAAATACAGGAGATCTCATCAAATAACTAACTTGCGATACTACAGATTGCGGGTCACCAATAGTATTCGCTCTATCTTTGTTGATCTTCCTAAACGCCATATCATCCAGTTTAAGATTATGGGTCTTTTTTGATAATCTCTTACGTCTAGGCGAATCGACAGTATCGAACGGTTCATAGCTAAAGCTAGAATCGCTCAGCGCTCCTTTAGAAGCGCAACTAGGATACGTGTTCAACGATTCAAACTTTTTAACAAGCATTTCCTTTTCTTTCTGCTCTGCTCGTTCCAACAGATCTTCGTCGCCTAGCTTCAAACTGTTGTAAATAGCTTCTAATTCGTTCAAAGCTTCTTCTAGATTACACGATTTTCGTTTGATGTCTTCTTTAGTTACAGCGTCTATCACGGGTGGTGATGGTGGTGATATTATATTTTTTTGTACAATAGGATTATTAACTGTAGTATCAGCTTCAATTGGTATGGCGCTGGGAAGGAATATTTTGGTTTGAACTTGGGTATGACTAGAAAACATTTGCGGGCTGGGGGAACGATTTTTCTTTGGAATCGATTGGTTCATGGTAGTTTGCCGATCGATTTGCTTCCAGAAGTTTAAAGCCTTGTTAGTTCCTTCGTTTTCTTTAGGATTACTATTAGTGGGAGCAGTTTTACTTCCATTTTGGATAAATATCGGTTTTCTACTCCTCGGTTTTTTATCTGTAAGATAATTGTATTGTTCTTTAACCGGTTTAGGTTTGTTAGTATCTTCATTTTTGATAAATAGCCTTTGAGATTCGGGTGTTGTAGAAGACGGTCTAATTTCTAGCGGGAGATTTAAAGCGTTCCTAACCAGATGATCTTCCGATGTAGATCTATAGCTAGGATGGAGATTCGAGGTAATTCTTTTCTTGTTGATTTGTTCTTGGTACGGGTTTGTATAGCTAAACATCTTAGCGTTCGCATGTCCTGTGTTATCGAAGTAAAAAGTATTGGGTCTCTCGAAATAATTAGGGGGAACGGTTCGATTAGGGTCTCTAGGTGGAGGAGGTGGTGGTGGATGTCGCATACTAGGAAGCTGCGAAGCATCTATAAGGCTCAAATTCCTGAAACCACGTTTTGGCCTCATTACGGGGAATTGAACGTGTAATACATCGGTCTTGTGAATATTATCATCGCAAGAATAGCTTCTTTGATCTGTCGTGAAGTTGTTAGGGTACTTCTTCATGCTGTTATTGTAATCGTTCATCGATTGCGGCGGTTTATAATTAGGATTGCTAGTACTGTTGCTTATTCTGTATCTAGTTTGGGTGGTATGACTAGGCGGTATCGTAGACAATCCGGATAGGTTGCTACTTTGAGAATTTAAACTAGAATGGGATAATTTATGTTTAGTTTCGGTTGGAGTAACTGTTCGAGGTATTAAAGGACTTCTGCTCGGCGATCGGTTGCTGTCATCGGAGTATTTCCAATTTTCAGCGTCGGATTTATAAACTCTCAAGTAGTTATGAGGATTTTCTCCGTCTTTAGAGTGTCGTTTCAAATACCGTTCAGTTCTAGCTGCTCTAGATCGTTTACTCATTTGTTTTTCGATGATTTTTAAATTCTCTTCGCTGTGGAGCATTACTGAAGAGTTGGAGTGGTGGGATTCCTCTTCAGAACTAGATCCGTTTTTGGAAGAATTCCTTCTGGCTTCTGCGCGAGCCATTGCTTGTCCCCGTTTGCTTTTCCTCACGCTGTCTACTGACCCAGAAAACGATTCGCTCATGTTCTGCGGGGGAATTTGCGGTAACGATCTATTAGCGTAGGTGTAACTCGGTATTCCAGCAGTAGGATCGGACATAATAGCCGAGTCCTCGTGGTAATTGTTACCGGAGTAACTGAGGGAGTTTCTGGAACCCGGAGGCATAACGACGTGATCGAACGGTGCAGATTTCGCGGGTTTTTTCCGTTTACTTTCCGACTTCTTCTTCCTTCTACCTAGGAAATTCTTTTTTTGCGCATCTTCTTCGCTGCTGCTCTCGCTCTCGTCTTTCTTTTTTCGCCGGAAGATGCTGGCTATGGACCATTTTTTGTCTTTTTTGTAGGTTTTTTCCGGGAAATCGTAACTGCAGCCGAGAGTGCGTCTCTGGAAGTTGGGCGAATGGAACTGTGGATCGCGATATGTCGTAATGTCATCGGCGCTGTTCATGTCGTATAATTTTCGGGCATCTTTGGAGGGGATGTTGGATACGGACCAAGTTCTCGTGGGGCGATTGCTTGCAACCTGAAAATAAAAATTATATTTTACTAGTCGTCAATTATAATGAAGCGAAGAGGTAGTATGATTTGAAAAATTAGTATTCGGATACTTTCTCGCGAAAGCCTATAGATAACTCTCTCGGGAAAGATCGTGGAGACCTACAGACGCCTCAGGGTTCGCGGTCGAGAAATGTGAACGTTATCCACATTCATACATCGGGACAAAGACACAAATTGTCAGTTCTATTATTTTAACAGTAGATCTACTGTTTTTGACACTAGTCTCCTGTAATATTGTTTTCAATGAACATAGTTACTATATTTACCCCAATTAGTAATTTTTGCGCTATTTTTACAAATAAGGATTTAATTGTGCGTCAGAAACAAAAGAACGTAGTTGTATTATCAGAATCTGATTAATTAGTTTGTTTTTTTTTTTTTTTCAACAATAAGTATATTTATCAACGATTCCATTTTTAAACTAACTATAACTTAATTTTCTTTTTCCAATTAGCGAAGAATAATATTTATTAAGTTGGATCACGCGAAGCTCATCATTTCAACCATAAAAAACGTTTATTGGCTCGCAGTTTATAGCTTCCATTCACATGCTTTTTGCCTATATGGCACAGTGAAAAAGTTATATAGAAAATCGATAGACAATATAAAATGAGGGCAGGAAGTAATGATGCATATAAAGGGACATCTTGTCTCAATTTATTTACCATATTATCATCAGGCATTTCTTAGATCAATAATTATTCATTTAAATAAATACTCTGACTTTCCCTGATTTTTCAGAAAGTGGTTTATCTTAAATTCAGAGAGATAAGATCTTCTAAGTTTTAAGTACAGATCTATTTTGTTTTGAAATTATCAATATTTAGAAAAAAGTTAATTGATAGTTTTAATTGTATTTTAGGTTGTAAAAAATACTCTAAATTGGTGTCTCCAAAGATTTTATCAAATTACATGACCGGTGATCCCAGGATGTGATTCGCTTCTAACTTTGCATAATCTTTGGGGTATTTTTTGTATATAGAGTTTTATAAGATGCCTTATCAACGTTATTTTTGTTGTATTACAAGATTAGCACTTTAATGTTATTTAATAATAATTCTGATTACTTGGGATATTTTATAACGGCTTTTTTTCGATTTTTTTTTTAAACGAAATCCAAAAATAAGTCAGATTAAATTTTTTCTTTTCCAAAACTGAATTCACATGTTTTATCACCAAACTGTATCAAAAAAAAAAATTAAGTTGGAGTTAAAATTAAAATCAAATTAATTCAGTGCTTTTACAAAATTAATATACAGGGTGTCCTTTAAAATGTGTCCCAAAATTCTCAGGCAGATTCCTTAACCAAAAAATGGAAAAAAAGTTCCTATAGACCTATGTCCTAAAGTGCCCCCTAAGCGAGCAACAGCCTCTCGAAATCATTTTTTTTATTTTGATTTTTTGAATTTTCTTAAAAATGGAAACAAATAAAAGAACCAAATTTTGGCTGTTAAATATGATCAATAATAGTGACCTTTTGACACCTTCAAAAAGAAATTATTTCGTCAGGGGTGTACTTGGGAATTTTTTGAAAATTTTGATTATTCATAACTTTTTTCTGTTTTTGGTAATGACTTATCCATATTTTTTTTTTACATTCTACATTGAAAACTACGTCAAAAAGGAATACTTGTTTGATCTCGATTGAAACAGCCGTTTCCGAGAAAACATCATCCAAAGATATTCGTGCAGTTTAGGTTAATTTTCAATTTTGGCTGTTGTAGCCAAAAAGTTGGAAATCGAGGAACACGGCTTACATGTCCCTATCCTTACTTTTGAAGGTCTATTCAGTGGCAAAAAATATTAGTTGATACAGGGTGATCAAAAATCGGATGTGATTTTGGATTTTTGATCACCCTGTATCAAATAATATGTATTTTATGTCACTGAATAGACCTTAAAAAGTTAGGATAGGGACTGTAAGCCGTTTTCCTCGATTTCCAACTGTTTGGCTACAACAGCCACCTGAATTTGAAAAAATGTGATTTTTGAGTAGCTGTAGATCCTTTACTATTCATATTAGATAACAAGTGTGATGTATCATTGAAATCAGATTATCGAGCAGATTCTAAAAATATAAAAATATACAGGGTGTTCCATTTAAAAAACATAACTTTGATTTGGCACGGCCTTATGAAACACCCTGTCACATCGTAACTAATTTTAAAATGTGAAGCTTAAAGCTGCCTACTTTTATTATAACAGATCTACAGAGCTTCCTCACACTAATCAATCACCCTGTATACTATTTTTAGCTCTCTAAATAAAATTTAAAAATTTAGTTCCCATTTATTTATTATGAAGACCATAAGGTTTGTATTTAGCTGTTTAGAATAAAAAAGTAAAAATATGTATTTTTTTGGCGTTTTTATGTTTCATGGATAATTTTTTTCGCTCACTGATAAAAATGTTTCTTCAGTTAAACATTATTTCTAAAAGTGTTCTGGTGCGATTCGTTGTATTGTTATTATTTTGTTTAAAATGGCTCACAATAACTACAATAATGATTACACATTCGGCGAAATGACGGACATGCACTTATGTTTTGGACTCGCTTCTGGAAATGCCAATGAAGCTCGCAGACTTTATCAGGAGCGCTTTCCAAATAGGCATCTTCCATGTGCTAAGACGTTTTCTAGAATTGACGATAGACTTCGGGAAACTGGTACATTTAAGAAAAACTCTAGTAACAGTTGAAGACAAAATTATGTGAGAACTCCTGCTTTGGAAGAAGCAATTTTGGATAGGGTAGCTGAAACCCCATCGACAAGTACCAGAAAAATAGCAAATGGTAATTACTTATTTATTATTTTAGCTACCCCGTACCTTATCGTATAAAACTAGTTTTTTTACTTGTTATTGCTTCTCTTACATTTCACGACTTTTCGTATCGAAAAGAGTTGCGTTATGCAGAAAAAATCTGATTTCCCAAATCAATGGATTCTCTTTCTTAACTATTCACTACAAAGATTCTCTCATTTAATTTCAGAAGTGGGAGTCGGACGTAACACGGTATGGAAAGTTTTGCGTGAACAACAATTGTACCCTTACCACATTCAAAAAGTTCAGGCACTTAAAGCTACTGATTATGAGCCGCGAGTTATCTTTTCTGAATGGTTTCTTGGAAGATGTAATCAAGATGCAATGTTTCTTAATAAAGTGCTATTTACCGATGAAGCTGGTTTCACTAGAGATGGTATAATAAATTTTCGAAATATGCATGAATGGGCTGAAGATAACCCTCACGCGGTTGTTGAACGTCACCACCAGGATAAATTTTCAATAAACGTCTGGGCTGGAGTTATTGATAATTACCTTATTGGACCATTTGTTTTGCCGAATAGGTTAAATGGAGCAGCATACAGGCTTTTTTTGGAAAATAACTTACATGAGCTTCTTGATAATATTCCGATTCAAATCAGACATAACATGTGGTTTATGCATGATGGAGCTCCACCACATTACAGCCTTGAAGCTAGACAGCACCTTAACGAAAGATTTGAGGGTAGAGTAATTGGCAGAGGTTGTCCTGTTAACTGGCCACCTCGTTCACCAGATCTAAATCCAATGGATTTTTTTGTTTGGGGTTATTTAAAATCATTGGTTTATTCCAGTCCTGTTGAAACAGTTGAAGAATTTGAAGAACGAGTTTTTCATCATTGCGAAGTTCTTAGGAATAATCCTGAAGTATTTTTTCGTGTAAGACAGTCTATGATGCGACGGTTGCGCTTGTGTGTGGAAACCAATGGTCGCCACATTGAGCATCTGCTTTAATTTTTTTTGATTTGTTTTTTTAGAATAAATATTTTTTTAAACCGTTTCTTATTATTAAATAAAAATAGTCCCACCACGACATTTGAACTACAATTATTTAGAGAGAGCTAAAAAAGTTATTTTTATTTACGAGATTCACCGAGGTAATTTAGGAAAATTGAAAATTAAGCTAAAGTGGACCAATATCTTTGGATGATGTTTTCTCGGAAACGGCTGCTCCAATCGAGATCAAAAAAGTATTCCTTTTTGACGTAGTTTTCAATGTAGAATGTAAAAAAAAATATGGATAAGTCATTACCAAAAACACAAAAAAGTTATGAATAATCAAAATTTTCAAAAAATTCCAAAGTACACCCCTGACGAAATAATTTCTTTTTGAAGGTGTCAAAAGGTCACTATTATTGATCATATTTAACAGCCAAAATTTGGTTCTTTTATTTGTTTCCATTTTTAAGAAAATTCAAAAAATCAAAATAAAAAAAATGATTTCGAGAGGCTGTTGCTCGCTTAGGGGGCACTTTAGGACATAGGTCTATAGGAACTTTTTTTCCATTTTTTGGTTAAGGAATCTGCCTGAGAATTTTGGGACACATTTTAAAGGACACCCTGTATATATATATATAACACATTATAGGCAAATCAATTTACATTATTTCTGAATGATATTAAACCTTTATAAAAGATCATAATGTAGTTTTAATGATTTTACTGTTTTGTCTCATTGTATTTCTTTATTATTTATTATGTTATTATATTAGTTTATATATTTGAGTTACTTATTATCCAGCCCTTGTATTATATAACATTTTTCCTTGAGGCTTGTATGTACACAAACTTAAAAAACAATAAAATAACGACAAAAAAATGATCTTGAATATAACAGAAGAAATCTGGTTGACCCTGAAACATTTTGGTTGGCGACCTCCTAAATTATTGAATATTACGTGTTATTTTTTTTTTAATTATATTTATGTAAAACACAAAAAACAGTAACGTGCTTAGCATAAATAAAATGAATCTTAAAAGAAGGCGGATGATTCACAAACTTATTTAATAAACATTGTCGATTATTGTTAACAAACACACATGGTAAGGTAACAAAGTAAAACAGAATTACTGATTGTGTTTTCTAATATGGCAGACGCGTGCTAAGTATTTGTTTTCATCCATTTTAGGTATTACGCATAGTCT